ACATTGTTGGTCAATAATCACCTAAAATTACTGTGGAAATGAGGAAAGAGTCATTTTAGCATACAGTCTGGCCAGAAGCTGTTCACATTGATTGGCAGTCCTGAGCTGTTTGGAACTATTGAGGGCTGCATGAATCAAGTGACCGCATGTCGTCAATTTCAAATAGTGTCGCAACTTTCTCATTCTAGGCATGACATGACAGTTTTGCTTTTCTATTTTGTCATGGATTCAAGAACTTGTTTGAACAAATTCTCTGCAGTTTTGTTTCATATTGACATGAACACTTCAGTTACTTCAGATTTGCTGACTGCACATTCATAATGTGGATCTCCCATTCTATCTTATTCCAAAAGGTTCAGGACTGAATTGATATATGGTGACTGTAAATGTCTTTGGAGTCCAATGTGAATTCATTGACTTAACGGCTTCAGTTTATAGTCTATTTAAGTCCTTTTTGGGCAGCAGTAGACAACCATTAGTTTGTACAAATAGCAAATTGGGTACAATGCTAATCTGATTGTCTATACCCTTAGGGGGATACTGGAGGATGTGTGGGAGTTTGTCCAACCAATCTATATGTGCTTTCTGGACATGTAGATTGGGAGTAGACCCGAGGGAAGACCCAGGACATGCTGGAGGGACTGTCTCTCGGCTGGCCAGGGAACGCCTTGTGATTCCCCCATAAGAGCTGGCCCAAGTAGCTGGGGAGAGGGAAATATGGGCATCTCAGCTTAGGCTACAGTACTTCCCCTGCGACCTGACTCCAGATAAGCGGCTAAAAATGGATGGATGGATACAAAGTTTCTAACACTCTTTTTTTCACCTCTGCCTCTGAAGAAAAAAAACCTTTCTAACTTCCTGGTCTAAAGCCCTCCCTTTTTTAAATCATTTGGGTGTTAAAGTCCATCGCTGAAGGGCCTTAACCTTCTGGAGGCAGGCGTTGCAGATTTGCAACAAGAGAGAGTATAAGGAACCACCTTTCGTCAAGGTTTTTGACAGGCCTATTGTTCTTTGACCTTTATGCCCCCCCAAACCACCATAAATGAAACTTGAGAGATGTATTGTTCATTGACCTTTGTGCCTCTTCCCCCAACCTACCTTTCATCAAACTCGACAGGTGTATTGTTAGTAGTCCCCTTTTTTGATATGATCTTTAATGATCCTATATGTCAAGAAATGAATTGATGACTGGTTTGTGTTAGCCTCACGCCCCCTCCCTTTCGTACGTGAGACCCCACATCCCTCCCTCCAACCCTGCTTGCCTTTTTAAAAGCTCAGATCCATTTTAGCAGACAGACTGAGATTGTATCAGAATGGTCGCTGTCTCTTCTGCAACTTGTTTTTTTATTATTATTATAATCATTATATTTGGCGGCAGTTTTTTTGCAGTGTGATTAGATTTTATATTTGACTAGATTGTACAGCCATTTTTACAGTACGATTAGCTTTTATATCTGACTAGATTGTTTTTTGCAGTATGATTAGATTTTATTCCTTATATCTGACGGCTGTTTTTTGCAGTACAATTAGATTTTATTCCTTATATCTGACTAGCTTTATTGTGTACAATTTATGAAATAAAAAGAAATAATGAGAATGAATATGTATCATTTTTTTTTCAAGCATCCATCAGAGATGGAGGAGGTAATGAAAAAGGTTTATTTTTCACCAAAACATCGGGGTAGTTACGGAGGTGTGGAAAGGTTTAGAACTGGTTTACAAAAGAGATTGGGGAGAAAGTTTCATCAGATAAGGCTCGTGATTTTCTCTCAGAACAAGATGCTTACACACTCCACAAACCTGCAAGAGCTCATTTTCCGAGAAAAAGCTATAAAATAATAGCTATTTTACGTTTTAGGTGAATTGTTTGCACCTTAATGTTGATTTGTGTGCAATATAATTTCAATGTCACCTGTTTTTATCCTTATCAGTACTTCCAGTAGATGGTATTTTCAGCTAGCCAGATGATTTAATGAGCATATGAATAATTGTTCTAAGTTGAGACAAAAATCTATATTGTTAATCACATATGTTGAATAAAACTGAAAGAAAAAAATTGTCGATTGATTTAAAATCTTCGGATCCAGGATAAATTTGGTGATGGAGGTAGTGGACCTCTTGCTGTTTTAGTTGGGGACCCCTGGGCTAGAATATCAACAAGGGTATACGCTGTTTGCCTTCAATCTGAACTCATCGGATGACCTGGAGGCGCTGTCACCTGTTGCTAATGGCAACCTGAGAATATCCAAAATATAAGTGATGATTGGGTTTGCACCTGAAACTTGTTCCTTAAACCCCTTATGAAAAATCTCTTGCGAAGTTAAACCTATCTCGTCATTACGCAATTCAAACTTTGTTCTCAGCAGACTAACTTCTTGGTTTTTTTTTTTTCGAATCAAAACTCATTTGGCTTCTTCCCTCGATATGAGTTAAATACATCTGGATGAGACAGCCAAAAAGAAACAGAAAGAATGGGGGTGTCTGAATGGTGGGCACCCTGCGGCTCTCTGGTGCTGTGACAGAGGAGGGGAAGAGAGGGGGTAGGAGGTGTGTGTGTGTGTGTGTGTGTGTGTGTGTGTGCGTGTGTGTGTGTGTGTGTGTGTGTGTGTGTGTGTGTGAGAATCTCATTGGAAACAAGGGTGGTTGAGACAAATGCCTGAATGTGTGTATGAGGATGACTTCCTCTGTTGTAAAATGTGTATTCTGAATGGTTCAAAATGTGACACTAAAGCTGGGTGGACACTGTGCCACTTTTTCACTCGTAGCACTCAGCTTCAGCTCAAACTGTACAACTTCCTCGCAGGGCAGATCTCACGAGTCAGGTGCTCACACTGTACTACCCGGTTCTCAGATGCGACCTGACTGCTCACACTGTACGTCTGGTAGCAACACGTCGGACCTAAAATATATGCTAAAAATAGCAATTTTTACACAACACGTCAGACTTTTTTGTCTAGTCTTGCCTGTTGTCCTTCGGGAGTGCTGCAGGAGGACACACAGGGATTTATGGGGGTTGGATGAGGAAAACGAAATAAAGAAAGTAAATCTGTGATTTGTGATCAGTTTAATTTGACATGAACACGACAAACACGCTTTCTTGACAATCCTTGTCATTGTGTGTAAAAAAACATGTAGAAATAGAAACGAACAATGTGTGTTATTAGGGAAATTGCGGGCGAGCAGTGTTGATGCATGTTGTACAGCGCTTTGTGATTTATATCTGAGAAAGGCGCTATATAAATAAACTTTTACTTACTTACTTACTATGATTGCGCATGCGCCGTGAGCGGTTCTGGTACTTTTTGGGTCGCAGCCGCTCGCTGCGCCGCTTCAACCCTCACGAGGAACGAGCAAAATATCAAACACTCCAGATGTCCATGCGAGCTCACGATTGCTGATCGGTAGCTGGTCACGTGGTATTAATCTCCTCTCGTAACCCCCTGTTCTCTACACGACGCTCAGCGCAAAACTTGCCCCGATCTTGTGGATTCTCGCACGAGTGGAAAATCGGCTCAAAAGAGTGAAAAAGTTGCACAGTGTACGCCCAGCTTAAGGAGAGGAGAGAAGAGAGGGGTTGAAAGGGATGCCTGTGTGCGTGATTGAGTGAGCGATAGAGTCAGTCTTTCAGGGTAGCTCACTTGTTTTTGAAAGCAAAGATGGTCAGCAGGAATAAACAATTGGATGCTGTTTGCTGAATGGTTATAAATGATCATCTAGTCTTAAAAGGCGGAACTTCTTTCTTTCATTGTAAACTGATACCCCCAGCATTTACTGGCAGAGCTTTGCTGCAATTGTTTACAAGTGGAAGCCGTCAGATGGACTGTTGATAGGGGTGGCTGATGCCGACCTGAATGGAATGTGCTTAGAATGAGCAGTTAGTTGCTTGGTAAGAACCCCCACCAGTGATTCCCTTGTATCGGATGCATTTACAGAACAAAACGTAAGTCGATGCTTTGTGAGCTGAGAGTAAAGCCCTTTTCAGATAGACATTCTGGAATATGTGTGGACAATTCAATCCGGTTTTTAACCGGAACTGTGTTTTCAGACACACCACTTTTGTACCGGAACTTGTCCTTTCAGCTGCCTTCACACAGCAGGGAAAAGTTCCAGATGTCGGGGGGGATGGTGCGGCGGGCGTACATGCGTCATTTACTCAAATAAAGCCATTCTGTCAAACATGACAGACGAAGAGATAGAAATCCTCTCACTGATCGGACTTATGTTAAGCATAATTCTGCGCACACGAAGATGCACAAGAGACCAGGATGATGAAGCTCAATGGTTAAAAGGAATCATGGAAGCGGTGTGATGCGCTCCGTCGCGCGGAGACGGTACTGTAGGAGGCGAGCTGCCATGGCTCACCGCATACTACAGCAGCGGGCTATCTAGGTGCACACAGCGTCCCCCGGTCCCCTCCGCCTCCCCCTCCTCCCTGTCCGGAACTCGACCTCACCAGTCTGAAGCAGCCACCTTGGCCGTAACAAGTCCGGACCTGTTACTAGGGGCGTTGTCCGGTTAAATTACGGAAAACGTTATCCGAATGTTTGTATTCAGACACAAAGTTCTTACGGACAGAGTCCGGAACATTTCCGTTTTTCATGGCCTGTCTGAAGGGGGCTTAAGAGAAGATAGGGGGTGGCTGAGACAAATGCCTGAATGTGTGTGTGTGTGTGTGTGTGTGTGTGTGTGTGTGTGTGTGTGTGTGTGTGTGTGTGTGTGTGTGTGTAATGATGACTTCCACTGTTGTAAAATTTGTATTCTGAATGATTCAAAATGTGACACTAAAGCCGGGCGTACACTGTGCGACTTTTTCACTTGTAGCACTCAGCTTCAGCTCAAATTTTACGACTTCCTCGCAGGGCAGATCTCACGAGTCATGTGCTCACACTGTACAACCCAGTTCTCGGATGCGATCTGACTGCTCACACTGTACATCTGGTAGGTGTGAAAGGGAGGGGTTGTGAGGCTAACACAAACCAGTTATCAATCCTAACTTCAAGTGTCATTACACAACAGTCATCAGTTCATTTCTTGACATATAGGGCCATTAAAGATCATATCACAAAAGGGGACTACTAACAATACACCTGCCAAGTTTGATGAAAGGTAGTTTGGGGCATAAAGGTCAAAGAACAATAGACCTGTCAAAAACCGTGACGAAGGGTGGTTCCTTATACTCTGCAACAGTTAAAACCTACCTACCTGGTTACTCTACATACGTATTTCATGAGCGTTTTTAACTGAGAAGTTTAAAAACTAATAATACAAAAGTTCATACATTTTTTCATTTGTAAGTTGAGTAAATGTTATTCTTTATACCGCTGCACCTTGTCAATTGTTACTCTTGTGTTTTGTAATGTATTGTCTTGTCATTTCTTTGTGTCTGATAAGACACGACATAATCTTTTGAGGCTGGACAGATAGCAAACAGACAACAGTCAGAATGACACCGCTTTGTTGTCAGTGAAACAAAAAATAATGTAATGATCTGCTCTTAAGCAATTTTTACTTTCACCCCACCCCTTCATCAACCACTCCTCCCCCTTTCTCTCATCTGTTCATCCCTCTGTCACCAACATCACAATACTCTTGAAGATTTTGTTTAGCTTCTGTCTGTAATTAATTCTATTCCTAACATTAATATAATTTATCTCTTGTATCGGATCTAAAATGCTGAGAAACACCCCAAAATCCCACATTTTGTTTGCCTGCGCTTTCATTGCTATTGCTGTGTAAGTATTCTATTTATTTTCCTATCGTAGTGCAACCGTGTGTGTGTGTGTGTGTGTGTGTGTGTGTGTGTGTGTGTGTGTGTGTGTGTGTGTGTGTTGGGGGGGGGGGGGTGTCAATGGATATGTACAAAAAGTATTTCTATATTCAGCCTAAATAATAAGCTGCATACAATTCATGCAGGGAGAATAGCCTAATTGCAAGCATGAAACTGCCTTGCTTATAAGTGCCTTAGATGGATACATTTATATGATCAAGTAGGCTATCTATATTTTCAGAATATGTAGGATGTTGTGTTTTTTAATGTAAATCCAATGACTTGCTGCACAGCCACACATTTTTACGTATGTTTAACGCTATGTTCCTGACTTAGGATGTGTTTTTTTAAAGTAAAGTAGGCTATTCACATTAAATGCATAACAAAGATAAAGTAAAACAAGTTAAATGACAACAAATATGCTTCAGCAGCATAAGGAGGTAGTTGCCCATTATTTTGATGCACATATAGGCATCATAGATCACCATTTTGCCAATTTTAATGTGCGTTTTAGTGAAGTGTGAAAGATGAGAGAAAGAAATAGTTACTAAAATCCAACATCCCATTTCAAATGAAAACAGACTCATTTAATGTGCAGTATGTATTTTCATCATCACCATCAACCTTTATTTATAAAGCACATTAAAACGACGACAATGCCAACCAAAGTGCTGTACACGACAATATGTCACCAAACTAGATACAGCAACATAAAGTAGATAAAACAAATAAAAACTATAATAACAAAAAAAAAAAAACAGGAAAGCACAAGGGTTAAACAGTCTCAGCCAGGAAGGCCAGGGAATAAAAATAAGTCTTCAAATGCACTTTAAAAGTGGGAAGGGAGGGGGCAAGTCGGACCGCCAGGGGGAGTTGGTTCCAAAGTTTAGGCACACAAACTGAAAAAGCCTGTTCGCCACGGGCCATATAGCGGGCAAGAGGGACAAGCAGAAGGTGCCGGTCAGAGGACCTCAGGGTTCGCATCAGAACATAGGGACTCAAAAGATGTGCCAAATAAGAGGGGGCCATTTCATGAATAGATTTGTAAACCAACAGAAGAATTTTGAACTTAATACGAAACCGAACTGGAAGCCAGTGTAAATTTGCCAAAACAGGGGTGATATGCTGCCGTCGGTCTATGCCCGTAAGGAACCTTGCGGCAGCATTCTGAACCAATTGGAGACGTACCACTGAAGAGGAGGGAATACCATATAAGAGAGAGTTGGCATAGTCCAGATGTGACGTTACAAAGGCATGAACAACTGACTGAAGATCTTTTTTGTTCAGGACAGATTTTAGTTTGGCCAGCCAGTGAAGTTGAAAGAAACAAGACTTGACTACCTGATTTATCTGTGCATCCATTTTTAAAAAAGCGTCCAGAATGACCCCCCAAATTTGTAATTGTTGGCTTCACCAAAACTGACAATGACGGGGGCATTTTGTTAAGTGTTGATTTGTATGACTCATACTAAATCTATTCCTCCTATGATGTGGCATCTACAAAAGAATCCAGGGTGCAGCTTGTTCCAAGCAAGTGCATCGCAATGATTCATTTAATTGTCACTTCCCTCCAGGCACATACAAGACTTCCGCCAAATCTGGTTGCACAAGGTGGATTTTGTTTACTGAACACATATCTTGAAAGAAACAGAGGGTTTGGAGACACATACATTTTTAAGTTAGTTTAACTGTCAATAAAATAGTTTTTATCAAAGTTACCTTATAAAAATGTGTCCAATAAGAAAGAATGATGTTAAAAGAAATATTCCTAACTTTTATGTAAAAGTAATATTTATGATTGAGCAAAAATGTTTGTTCTGGCTTAACTTAAAATAAATAAAATGTAATAGGTGTGTAGACATGATGCTGTTTCTGTTGCTGTTTTGCATTTGGACACTTTTGATGGCAGTGTGAATAAAAGAGTATTTTAAACGTTACTGACTTGATAAACTGGTTTCTTTGGGTCTTTACAGGGGATTCTACTTTTACATAAAAGACAGCCTTCCACCTATCCGGTAAGAGCAGCTCAGGTTTTTGCAGCAAAAGGGAAGAATTTATTAAAACAATCTGTTAATTTAGAAATATTCACATTTATCTTATGAAATTATTCAATCATGTATCATTTTTACACGTGTGTTTTTCTCGTAGAATTTATCAGGATTGTCCTTCCCCTGACTTGGAAACTCAGACAAAAAATACTGAAGGGTCTGAGGACTGCAAGGACCAAGGCAAGTGGAAGATTGGTGACCTGGTGATGACGCCTGGGTAAGACGCAACTTTTATGTTCCATTGAACATGACTGCTTCAGATCTAGATAAATGTGCCGTCATAAATTTAAAATCCCCTTCAAAAAATAGAAATGATTAATCGGTTCATTTATAAATACTGCACCTGTTGTGGCGTGAATTTGCTGAAATGTTGACTTTTAAAAAACAGTACATTTCCTTTAGGTGGTGAAAATCTTTAACAAAGTGATCAGCTTTTTTTGCACAAAGCCTTGTGAAACATTTCTTTTATAGCAATAATTTTATTACAACCTATTAATTTACCTGAGATCTGGACATTTTGCATGGCATGTGACAGAGAACAAAAATTCACTCATTTTATTTTTCCTCTTAGGCAAAGTGTCTACCGAACACAGCAATTTAAATAAAATTTAAATGTTGATTTGAATATTCATGTCATGACTGTGGGGAGTTTTCCTCACCCAAGACATGCAGAATCAAACGAGGAGACGTAGGGAGAAAACAAATATTTATTAAAAAGGCAACTGAGGGTGTACCGCCAGACGTGGAGGTGATGCTGAGCACAGCTCCGGGACTGGGTCTTTAGAGATAACAATGGTGAGGGGTTGGGCAGAGAGGAACAAAACTATGAGGACTCAGTCTCTGTGGTTCTTACTGTGGGCAGAAATCCTGGAGCTTAGGAGGGCAGGCAGGACTGGGGTGAGCAGCATCTGTAGTTATCCAAAATCCAAGGGGGGTGAGTGGTGGGAGAGCCGGTCGGTCCAGGGGTGGAGGGAGATCTGACTCGAAGGTGATGTCCAGGTTATAGCAGAGGTGGTCTGAGGCGAGAGTTCCTGGCGAGGACAAGGCTCAGTAAATTTAACAGCAATTACTAACGTGGGCACAAAAACAAGGACTATGGCTATCGTTATCTCAAGTTGGCAAGAGCTACCCAAAGTGAGTAATCATCCGGCGAAGTGAAGTGATCTCCCAGCTCCTTATAAACACTGGACCGGTTGATTAGGAATAGCCTGCAGCTGGCCGCTCTCTGGAACCGCCCACCTGCAGATACTTGAGGCGCAATGAACAGAATGGTGCTGACTCAACTCAGATCCTGACAGTTCATGCAAACATTGTCCTCCTGGGTGTGAGTGAACCAAATTACTGCATAATTTTCCTACCAAGGGAAATTGTTGACTTCTTGCAAAAAAAACTGTTTAACCCTCTCAGGCTCAAAATAAGTTTTGATAAAAGGACGAACAACGTCCTTCAGGGGTACTTCTGAGTTAAAAAATGCTCATGAAATACGTATGTGGAGTAACCAGGTAGGTAGGTTTTAACTGTTGCAAACCTGCAACGCCTGCCTCCAGAGGGTTAATAAAATTACTGAATGAGCACTTTGTGGATATTAATATGATGTTAAGTCTGTTAAAGTGCTGGAATATTGATCTAGCCATTAGATTCAATGTCAGCTGTTTCGGTGTTAAAGTAGCTACAGGGTTTTGCCTCAAGAACATGGAAAGGACTCATGGAGACAGACTCCAGGAGAACTGGACAGGACCATATAGGTCAAAGGATGAGTAACGACAGAGCATAGAGCTCTGGAGCCCCTGGCATCACTACCAAACACGTGATTGTGCTTTCTTATTTTATCTTTATTTAAACTATCATTTCCCAGACTTCACGTTTAAACTGTTATGTTTTATTATTGCCCTCCTGTCTTAACAACATGATGCAGATCCCTGATTAAAAAATGGTGTAATTATAAGCAGAGTGAGGCTCTACATTATCTGCAGTTGCATAGGAAATCTATGAGTCCTGCTTTACCCCTGACCATGTTTTTCTCTTCCAGACTCAAATATGCCCAGCCAAACACACAACAGGGGTGAGCATTTTCCATGTGTCTGTGTAAAACAAATAACTTAAAAAACATTCAAATGTCTTTTTATGATTCATATTAAAACCACGGTATGAAACTGTAAGATGGTAAAATTGTGAATACAATAAAATGTTGTTTCAACATCACAAAAGAGTAGTAACGATTTACTTTTGTATGAAATTGTTTCCCAAGACGCACTGATGTGAACTCGGTGACAAACTGGAATGTTCCTTTGGTCTGGGAAGGGACATTTGACCCAGTGGTCATTGATGAGATCTACAGGGAAATGGACCCAAGAATAGCTGTGGTGGTTTTCGCTGTTGGCAAGTATGTCCACAGAACTACCACCATTAGCTGTCCTAAATAATAGTGGTTTTTTTCTTCCCCTCGATTTTGATGTTATCTCTGCCCGTCTCTATCTTTTCTGAACAGATACACACGTTTTCTGAAGGGCTTTCTTGAGACGGGTGAAAAGTTCTTCTTTATTGGCTTCAGAGTCACTTACTATATTTTCACAGACAATGAGAAAGAAGTTCCTAAGGTGAGTTGTGTTATTAATTTAAGTTAATTTTTTCTTTGCATATTGCATTATTGTTTTTTGGGGAATAAATAATATTTGATGTCTAATTCTTGTACAAGAGGAAGTACAGATTACATTAACTAAGACTAAAAACAAAATTGCCTGTACATTATAAAATAATTAGTAAACTTTATATAAACTTTAAATATTTTTTGACTATGGTTAGAAAAGAATACAGACTTCCCTTAAATACCTAACTATATATGGTAGATAGGTCCAACTCTGGTCTTATCCTACATGATCTAGTTGGTTCTCTGCTCCAGCTCACATGTTAATTAACTGTTCAACGTGTCTTCAAGCAAAATATTCAAATCAAGTGTGCAGAGAAACATCTAAATATGTTGAATAAGAGCCCCCAGAACCAGGGTTGGGCACCACCGTAAGTAGATTAAACCTGTGATAGGTGAAACTTAGACTGATTTAGGCGCCAGGCAAGAATGGCAAGTGTACAAGAGAATTTTTAGGAACCAATAAGGTTGCAGTGATGAAAGAAAGGTCTTGAACATATAACCAGGAACTTTAAACCAGGAAATAAAAAGAATGTTTCTTGATTATCACCAAACCTCTTTCGTTACTTGAAGAGAATGCCAATCATCACTGAAACCAAATATTTAACATTATTTTCATTGGAACAGAAAAGGTGTGGTAGGACTCATCCAAGCAGGTCTCAAATGTGTTTTGTATTTACTTGAGCTGATTCTAAATAAGAATGTATTACCTAGTTTTGGATGTGCACTGCACTGGGATAAAAAGTAAACATCTCCATAACTACATTTGTCAGACAGGTCCAAAAGCAACAACTCCAACACTGAACTTTCCTTTAGGCTATTTTCAAGTCTGAGCTTGACTCAGACATTTCGGAAGGGGGGGGCGGGGGGGGGGGGGGGGGGGGGGGTTTAGAATATTTGATCTGGACTTAGATTAGTCTGTTAACCCTGTGCAGCTTATCCTTGGAAAAGAAAACTAATCAGCTTTGGCACTTATAGCATTTCCTAACAGGCATTTTGCAATTAAAATTTTTAATTGTTGTACTGTTTCACATTATTTCTATGACTTTTCAGATTGAAATGGGTACAGGCAGAAACATCACAATTCTATCTGTCCCTCCTGCCAGCCGGTGGCAGGATGTTGTTCTTGGTCGGATGAAGTGGGCCACCGTCTCCATTGAACAAAGGGTATATACTGTCTACACTCAGAATAATCCACGGAAGTTTCTGTTTTTGTCTATTCACCAGTTGTTGTTTTTTTTTTCACCTTAACTATGGTTTCAGATTCGTAATGAGGCAGATTATCTATTCATGATGGACATCGACAGCATTTTCTACAACCGGTTTGGAGCAGAGTCTCTCAGTCGTCTGTCAGCTGTACTCCACCGAGCCTACTACAAGGTTTCACCTTTATTCTGCCCTTAAATCAAAATCACTCTAACTAAAGTCTTTATATAGTTAAAAAAAAAACATTTACCCCACCTTTAATCTGTTCTGCATACTGTTATGCTCAAATTTTACAAATAAATGTCTTGTTTTCTAACCGTCAAATCAAAGTCATCCCATGGGGAGATTAACTAAAAAAATATTTTGGTCAATTGAAAGTGTGCTTCGGTATAAAAATCTATATAAGTTATGTATAGTCAATATTAGGGGTGTTCCAATTCAGCATTTAATCAATGCATTGCGATGTGACACGTGCTAACTCAAAATTAATAAATAAATGCTCATGATCGATTATAAATAAATGGAGAAAACAGGGTAGGCCGGTATTCAGCATGTTTTAGTTTAAATCCTGTTTCAACACACCTGATTTTAGTCAACAGGTAATTAACATGTTCCTGCAAAGCCTGTTGAGCTGCTACACAGGTAATTCAACCACTGAATCAAGTGTGTGGCTCCGTGGAGCAGAGAAACCACTAAAATGTGTTGGATACTGGGCCTCCAGGACCAGAATTGAATCTGTCGGCTCGAGGGTACGGACCACCAGAAAAAACAAAACCACAATGGCAAAAGCTTATATATTAGTTTTAACCACTGAGCATGATTTACTCATCAGGAGGATTAAAAGAAAGTTGCATACAGTCTGCCTTTACTTGCAGATAGCTAACATTCTTAAATAAAAACCAGGAAGCTTCATTCTGTGTTGGCTTGATTTACTGGAGTACTGTAAAACTGCAAACAGACAGAACATAAAAAAAATACATTTCACAATCTTAATAGAGCAAGTTTAACATTCAGTTATAACACAGAATGACTTACAACTCAAACCAGCAACTATATTAGAGAGGGGTTAAAACAATTATAATTTTCACAGAAAACTAACGCCAATATCGCCAAATATATTCTTACAAAATGCAAATTAAAAACATGTTAAATTATTAAATTTTGAGTTTAACAGAAACTAAAATCTGCTATCAATCAAATACTTAAAGATACTTAGTAAGCTGTGTTGTTTTTGGCGGGCATCTTTGTTTTAGTCCGAGTCTTTATGACGAAAACCCATTTTAGTCTCAGTTTTAGTCGACTAAATCTCAAAAAGGTTGTAGTCGACAAAGATATTTGTTTTAAATTTTACAAAACAATAAACAAAGTATTAATCTCTAACAAATGCATTTATAGGTCAGACATGTACTCTGAGCTACTGGAGTGAGTTTCAGATAACATCATTTATTTTATGGCTATGGGACAAAATCTCAGCTGCCCCAGATTTTGTAAAACAATAATCCCCAGACTGATGTCATTTTTTTACTTTACTGATAATCACAATAATGTTTATAATTTATTGATGCAGATCTGTGCATCACTCTGTAGATATCCACTGACGAAATTTATGGTTTTCTTTCTTTAACAGAATGGACTCTCAGAGAGCATAAAGAGTATTCTACACAATATTTAAATAGAAATAAAGAATGTGTTTGTTTAATTTATTATTTAAGTTTTAGTGTCAGTAATGTTTTTTCCATAAGGCTGCAGTGTTTTGAGTTTTCATGAGCCAACAAAATTAAAATGAATAACCCAGTTCTGCTCTTGAGCATCAGCAGTGATGCTCCTAAACATTTAGATGGGCTTAAACTGTTATGCTGTTGGGTTAAAATGTAGGAATGTGACCCGTTGTTAGGAATCAGAGAGCAGAGACAATAATCCTGACGCACTGGTTTTAAAACATTTGTTTTAAATGTGTTCAGATATCATTCAGGTCATTGGATGTTCAGGATAGGGTTTGTGTCATCTGATACCTGCACACACTGCACAAACAACATTCCTGACAATTACATCCACGCACTGTGGTCCTGTCCACCTGTTCAGGAATTTTGGGGTAGAGTATGTGAAGACCTGTCAAAGTGTCTGAAATGTCATATCCCAACTTCCCCCTCTCTTCGTTTACTGGGAAACCTGGACGATGTCCCGTTTGAAACATCTTTGGTTCGCGTGGTTGTAAGTTCAGTAAGATCACCCCCTATCACCCTCATTGAATGTAATGTAAATGCTTTCCCCCCCCCCGACTTCCCGGAGCGACAACGCAGCTTCTAGGGGCTGGCGGGACGTCTCCCTATATGCCTACATCATGCGTTACTCCCCAATGCAGGTAGCTTTAAGGGCACGCACAGAGCGGCAAACCATTTCCATCATGGCGAGCTGCCGGAGCAACACTTTTGTCTCTTTCAAAGCATTTCCATTTATTCGTCATACCAACACGGATAAAATGGCAACAAAACTGTTAGGACCACAAAGACCAAATCTCAACATCAAACAAGCAGCAGTTAAAGGCGGGAAATCCTACAATCGAGGATTTTCGAGAAGGTGGTATGACCAGACGAGCTGACGTGTTCCGGCATCTGTTTGGCCTTTAGTGAACCTTGGTTTGCCGTCAGTATTTGTTTTCCGGGAACGTTAGATTTACAAATTAAGCACTGGTTGGACCAGAGAAACCTCTAAAACGAGCTGAATACCGGCCCTCGAGGCCCGAACTTGAATAGCCCTGATCTAGTTCATCGCTAATTCTACTGCCAAAACTGAAGCACGACTCCAAGCTAGGTACTGTGTGTACTTGTCTGGGAGCTAACTTGGAAATATATAATTAACTTGTGATCATTCCTGTCGGTTCACATTCTATGTTGCTTTCTGTCTTTTTTTTGTGCCTGAAGAAGAAGAAGAAGAAGAAGAAAACATATTTTCTATAGCACCTCTCAAGATAAAAATCACAAGGCGCTTCACAAAAACAAAAAATGTAAAAATATAAAAAAGAATTTAGAAAATGATTAAAAATATATTGAAATAAGCAAAAAAAAGTAGACAATTGTGATTAAAAATGTGAAGAAAGAGAGAGAGTGAAGAGGAAATAGGGAAATTAGTGAATCCTGAGGAAGGTGGAATAGAGCTCAGGGAGTTGACGTCACTTCTCCCAGCATGCAACAGTTCAAATCGAAACGGCGCCATATTGGCAGGCAGAAGCCCGCAGCTGGACTATTTGTTATTGTCAGAAAACTCAATCAGATGGGAAATATGGTAGATTCCTGTTGTGCCCCAGGATGCAGAACAGACGCGGATGACATAAGGAATGAGCCATCTACAGGATTCCCCAAGATCCGGAGCGTCGCAAAAGTTGGATCATTGTAATAAAAGGCGCTAGTGACCGGGCTAAAATGAAGCTGTGGGACCCCGAGAGTAAAGGTTTTCACTTATGCAGCGACCACTTCATATTAGGTACTTAAACCAACGTTTCCTCAACTGTGTGTGGTATTTATTTTAAATGCTTTCATTATGATTCTTAGTGGGCTTCCTAAACTTGTTTTGGCGTGGCTTTTTCTGTCTTATTACTCATAGTAACAAGTAAACATCACGTAAAATGTTGCCTCGTGAGTTCTGCGTGTTTTATGATGACAGCAATTAACCGGCTAAGCTGTATTTAATTTTTAAGCAATGGTTGATCAATTGTCAGATCCGCTTATCCGGAGTCGGGTTGCGGGGGCAGTAGCGTCGAGAGGCCCAGACTTCCCTCTCCCCAGCCACTTGAGCCAGCTCCTCCGGAGGAATCCCAAGAGGTTCCCCGGCCAGGTCCGGTAAGAAGTCCGCTCCGACAGCTTCTGGCATTTTTAAAAAGTATCCCAGGGGCACGGTAAGGGTCGGAGATGTTTAGTCTATTTAATTTCTGACTATATAAAACAATTTCTTCGGTTTTAAAGTGTGAAGTAAACTCTGACGAAGTAAAATCCAAGCCGATCCCGTTCATTTTGTTTACATTTGTTGCCTGCCAACATGGCGTCTACTCTCTGAGAGTCACGTGACGTCCGGAGCTCTATAGGCAGGGAGAGCAGAACAAGAAGAGGGTGATGAAGGTCACACCAAAGCCAGCTTGAACAAGTGAGTTTTCAGCTGGTTTTTAAAGGAGTCCACTGATCTCAGGCTCAGGGGGAGAGAGTTCCAGAGTCTGGGGGCCACAGCAGCAAATGATCTGTCACCTTTGGTCTTTAGCCTGGTGCGTTGCACAACCAGTAGGCTTTGATCACTGGACCTCAGGGACCTGCTGGGGGTGTAGGGACTGAGAAGATCACCAATGCAAGATGGTGCTTGTCCATGTAAGGCCCTATAGACCAGAACCCGGGTCTTGTAATGAACCCTGAAGTTGACTGCCAGCCAATGAAGCTGGAGGAGAAGCGGGGTGATGTGGGTGTGTTTGGAGGACTTGGTCAGAAGCCGAGCACATGCATTCTGAACCACCTGCAGACGCTTCAGGGGGGTTTTGCTCAGACACGTGAAAAGAGAGTTACAGTATAAGCGTGAGGAGATGAATTCAGTCCCACACCCAGGGACATTTCAAGTTCTTTTGGGGGCCAAGGCAAAATATTTAGAAATTTGTTTCCATGCTGTGGCGTGCATAACCCTTTTCTCTTAAGATGCACGAGCCCACTGGCTCCCTTTCCCCTGCTATCAACGTCTCACTCTCCTGATCAAAGTCCTGCATTAAATCTGTCGTGGATGTGAAAAAAAAACAGAAGATAAGTCCACTGGTGTTGTAGTTTTTTAGTTTATAGGCTCTTCTCTAATGTAAGAGTCAGCCTTTCCCACGTCAATGCCACCCAATTGCACTTTTTAGACATTTCATAACATTGTCAATAACTAAATTTCTTACTTATGTTAATATGTAAGCATTTATCCCCAAGCCAGGATTGTTTCATAACCGAATCATAAACAGTCATTCCTGATGATTTTACTGTTCTGTCTCAGTCAAGAATTAGTAGGTAATAATATTAATGGATTAGATTTATATAGCTCTGTTCTCTTCACCCAAAGCACTTTCCATTATTCACGCATTCTCACATTCACACACTGCCGGTGATGGTAAGCTACCATGTGGCCACAGCATCCCTGGGGCGGTCTGACAGAGGCGAGGCTGCAATTTTGGGCCATCGGCCCCCTCTGACCACCACCAACACAGGCAAGTTGGGTGAAGTGTCTTGCCCAAGGACACAACAGCAGAATACCCCTGGCTAGAGCTGGGATCAAACCCATGACCATCTGATCACATGGCAACCCACTCTACCCCCTGAGCTAATGCTGCCCCTCAGTGTTGAGTTGCTATGCCCCACGTGACTCATTATGCCAGAGATACCACAGTCAATATTTCAGAGACTGATGCAGTGTTTCATCTACATTTTGAGATGCACACACCTGTCCTTGTTGGCTTCTTTCTCTCCTCTCCTGCCTTTCCACCTCTCAAGTTTCTTGTCTCCTTCCTCCTCCTTTTTTTCTCATGGTTCCTGTCTGTGACATCATGTCATCTGGTCAGTAATGTTTTGCATCCACTGTTGTTATTAGTAACATTTTAGCATGAAAACAAGGTAGAAAATGTCTCGACATCAGCAATGAAAGTGGGCAGAATGTCAACCATCAGCGTACCGTGACCTCCATTAGAAAAACCCATATCGGTGGATATGTAGTCTAAACTGATCTGTCAAAATATTCTAAACTTTTAAGTTTATTTTCATTTATTTACAAATAAAAAAACAAAACAGGTTTGCAAAACTAAAAAAATGAAAAAGGAACAGAAAGAAGCAAAACTTATGTTATCTGTTCCCCTTAACCAAAATAAATACAAATGACAACAAAGTTATAGTTAAAAAATGTCTGACCTGATTTATTGTTTTAACTTTGGCAAAAAATGGAGAGAAAACAAATACGCACACAAAAAATATATACTTTTTTCTTATACACAAAAAATAACTAAAAAGAAACAAAGTAGACAATACAATGTGTGTTTTCCCTTTCATTCTCTCCACTTCATAAATACGTCTATCTCATAGCATCATTTAAGCTAAGCATTTCATTTTTGATATGTTTATTTAAGGTATATATTGTTTTGGTATTCTTGATTTCAGTACTTAATTTATTCCACATTTTGACTCCATATAACTTCATCATTAGCTGCATTCATGCTGACCAACAACCTGAAAGATCTGTTTGCTTTTGACAGGATTAAGTAAAAATCACAGCAGCTGAAAATAAATGTTTTCATATGTCCAAGTGACAAAACAGCTATGATAACTGCTCAAACATGAGAGGGGGGGACACATAATACAACTATTAATACTTTCATTTTCTAAATGTTGTAATGAGGCAAACAGCTTAGCAGTTTGTATTTAGTTGGACTTTGAATTCAATACGAACAGATCACACCATACACTGTTTACTCATCGCCTTATACAATTTTTGTGTGGAGTAAAGACCCGCACAGACTTCTCACACACGCACACGGCTGGACTTTTCCGTTCATCTTCTGTCCACGTGCTTGGAGATGTCCCTATTCCTGAGAAGTGTGTGCGAACAAACCCTATCGGTGCAGGAGACGACCCAACATTGCCCAGCCCGGTCGGTGCTGGCCCAGATGGGAAACTGCCTCAAGACAAGCCAGGACCCGCCCGCTACCCCAACTCCTACATGCAAACACACTTTAAATTGATATTTACAAACTTTATGCAGACATACAGTTCTAACTTTTATATACAGTTTTGATTATATCGTAGGTTCTGATGTTGGGATTTCATAGATGTAATCTTGACAAATAAAGAATAAGTTTATTATTATTATAAGTTCTATTTCTATGAACAACCACTACTCAGGAATCCATACATCAGTTAAGATAGCAATTATTGCAGGAACTCACTTCAAAATGGTTTAAACATTTCCCTAAATTCATTTGTTCTATCTAAATAGTTTTTTGTTTTCTCCTTTATTTCCCACTCAGAACACACCAAGAGACAGTTTTCCTTATGAGCGTCGGCCGCTGTCCAAGGCCTACATCCCTGCTGGTGAAGGAGACTACTATTACACTGCTGCTGTCTGGGGTGGATATCTGGAGGAGATGTACAAGCTTGTCAAGTAGGAACACTAATTTATATTTCTGGCCTTTAAAAAACACTTTGTTTTCAAAACTATGGTTATTTTATGTCATTATTAATACAGCCAGCAGCTGTGATTAGTCTCAGTTTCCTCTCTGGTATTTTATCAGGTACTGCTACGAACAGTCACAGGAAGATGCTAAAAACAACATTGAAGCTGTGTGGCAGGAGGAGAGTCACCTTAACAGGTACAGTGTTACACAACTTACCAACATCATCATCTATCTAAGATTAAAGAAATACATAAATTTTACATCTGTCATTTCTTTTCTACTCTCAGGTACTTGTTATACAACAAACCAACCAAAGTACTGTCTGCAGAATACCTGTGGTCAGATTATGATAAAGTACCTGCAGACATCAAAGTGGTCAGGATCTCCCAGTTGGTTAAGAATTACGCAGAAGTACGACCAAATGGTGGAAACTGATATCACCAACCACTCAGGACTTTGCAAGTTTGAATCATTGGTGTGGGTTTTTACAATGTGTGTCTGTGGGTGCAGGGAGGAAGAAAGTAAAATATAAAGTCCATCCATCCATCTTCTGAACCTGCTTTGTCCACGCAGGGTCGCGGGGGGGGGGGGTGGGGGGGCTGATGCCTATCTCCAGCAGTCAACGGGCAAATAGGCGGGGTACACCCTGGACAGAGAGCCAGTTCATCGCAGGGCAACACAGAGACACACGGGACAAACAATCATGCACACACACTCACACCTAAGGACAATTTAGACAGACCAGTCAACCTAACAGTCATGTTTTTGGACTGTGGGAGGAAGCCGGAGTACCTGGAGAGAACCCACGCATGCACAGGGAGAACATGCATACTCCATGCAGAAAGATCCCAGGCCGGGAATCGAACCCAGGACCTTCTCGCTGCAAGGCAACAGCTCTAACCACTGCGCAGCCCATAATAAATTATGCTCACATCCAGAATCGAACCCGAGTTCTCAGCACGAGAATCCGACGTCTTACTAGGTGAGCTAAAGCGCCAGTAAAATATAAAATAGCACATATAATCTATATTGAGTCTTTTTATTTTTTTCATTCATCAAAACACTGTCACGATAAGTGACATGAAATACAATGATACACTTTCTTGAAAATGCATTGGGTGATGAGCCCACCAATAAATGAAAGCCAAATATATAAGAGATTATGTTGGTAATCCACTGCAGGCACATGTTATAAAGCAGTGGTTCCTAACCGTTTTTCATTAATGACCCCTTTGCTTGTGTTCAGCACCAGCCTGCCCCCCCCCCCAATCTCAACTACTACTTGCGCGCGCGCACACACACACACACACACACACACACAAACACACACACACACACACACACACACATACACACACACACACACACAAATGAATAGCAGTTGAGGGGGGTGTTTCTCAATGTCAAAAAACGTTGAGATATGTCATCAGGAACCGCCAACGTGTGTTTCAATGTTCATGTTCTACCAAAGTGTCGGTTCTCCGTTTGTTACCGGTTTAGCTAGCTGAGCAAGGATACACGGGAGTTACCTTGTAGCCTTGCCTTGGTCAAAGGTTTCCCAGAATACAGCGTGGTATTTTCAAAAGGATGGCGGATCAGGAGCTGGCAGCTACTTTGAGGGCAAATTTCCAGTTTACATGTAAATCAACTAATTGTAGGTATCAGGCTGATATCTAAAATTGTTTTTAGAGCCAAAGAAGTTGTCTGTGGTTGGTCAGTTGCTTAGCAATTGCAGCTTCGGTGGTTAGCAGGTAGTAACTCACGTATTGCATTTAACAAATATATACACAATTTAAAAAGTGAAAGGCTCATTATACATTTATATTGAAACTTATACGTATAAAATCTAATGTTACCTCATGTGTGCCTTGCCAGGCCAGGCGCTCTGACATTGAGAAACACCCTAGTTTTTTCCCTCATTCTCCTTGTTTTATGCTGTTGTGTGTTTCTGTCATGAGCTGAACTCAAGACCCGTAATGATGCCAAACACAGTTAAAGTATATTTTTAAAAAAGTCCTTTTTTTTTTTGGTGGAGTTACCAGATGGGCGAGGCTGGAGACAGAGTCGGAGACAGGCGAAGGTCAAAATGGCAGGCAGAGTACAAGGCAGGGGGCAGGAGAAAAATGAGGTCCGGAGGCAGAGATCAGGCAGGGTGGATGTCTAGAGAATTTACTGGCACAAAGTTTTCAATAATCTGGCAGAGACTGGATAGCTGGATGGTTCTTTTAAAGCAGGGGAAGCAGGTGTGTGAGATGAGCTGAGGAGTCAGGAGCAGGTGAAGTGGATGCAGGCTGATTACAGGAACAGGTGAGATGAATGAAGTTGATTGTGATGCTGACTGAGGTTGCTAGGGAAAACAGGGCTTGGCTGGAGCTTGGTGAATGGACAGGTGAGCTGAATGAAGAGTAAATGAGGAGGCAGAGGAGGGTGAAGGATGGGAGTCATGACAGTTTCGCAATTTTAGAAATGCAACGTTTACAAATATCATTTTGGTAGCACAGACTAAGCTGTTATGACTCCCTCTTATTTGTAGTGGCCCTCATGGGGGGTGTTGCAAACCTCTGGTTGGGAACCAAGGATGTCCTATTTTTTACTGTTTTGTATTTTTGGCTATTTTGTTTGTGTGCAGTTTGTTGAGTTGTGTATTTGAAGCTGCTGTAAAGTTCGATTGTACTTGAAATTTTGAGAAATGCATAAATTGTACATTTGCCTTTTTTCTACTCTACAACAAACAAACAAACAGAAGTACTGTCTCCAGAATACCTGTGGCCAGAATATGATGAAGTACCAGCAGACATCAAAGTGATCAGAATCTCTCAGTTGGTTAAGAATTACACAGAAGTATGACCAAATGGTGGAAATTGGTGTCAAACTCTCAGGGCTTCCTTTGTTGGAATCACTGTTGTGGGTTGTTTATTAGATTGTGTGTTTGTGGGTGCAGGGAGAAGGAAATTAAAGGAAAAAAATATATACTCCATAAGGTTGTTCTCTTTGTTTGTTTTCCTAGATTTTTACATGATTGGTGGAAATGCCTTTTATGTGTAGAACATTTTACAAGCTGAAGTTGTTGCAGTAATAATCCTAAATCCTTTATCTGTTTCAATCTGAAATGAATATCCACATTTCTTTGTTTGATTTACTGTGTTTGCTGTTTTTGCTTCTGTAAAGCACTTTGAATTGCTTTTGTGTTTAAAATGTGCTGTACAAATAAAGCTGCCTTGCCTAAATAAACCAGATTTTAAGGGGCTGTCTAGGCCATAATTCATTCCCCTCTTTTACACACAAATACAGTGGGATGCCAAAATCTGGGCAGCCTTGTTCGTCCTCATAATATTCCTGTATAAATCGTTGTTTGTTACAATTTAAAAATCTGTTAAATATATTATATAGGAGACACACACAGTGATATTTGAGAAGTGAAACAAAGTTTATAGGATTTACAGAAAGTGTGCAATAATTATTTTAACTAAATTAGGCAGGTGCATACATTTGGGCACTGTTGTCATTTTTTGGAACTCAAAATGTGTTTGGTAAGGTCAGTGACCCTTGACCTTGACCCTTGAATCCAAATATAAGAAAGAGTATTTAAGGGGACCAATTGTAAGTTTCCCTCCTCTTTGAATATTCTATGAAGAGTGGCAACATGGAGATCTCAAAACAACTCTCACTTGACCTGAAAACAAAGCTTGTTCACCATCATGGCTTAGGGCAGAGCTGCTCAATTCTGGGCATTGAGGGCCAGTATCCAGCATGTTTTAGTTTTAACTCTGCTTCAACACACCTGATTTCAGTCATCGGTGTAGCGGTGGCAAATGTGTATTATTTATTTGATATTGTGAATAATTATACAATATTACCTTGCTTGATCTTTACTGTAAATATCGGAAAATTATAGGGCTTAATCAGAAGATTCTAAGATTGTTTGCTTTATTATTTATCAACTTCCACCCCTAGTAAAATGTGTATTTGTATACACACATGTTTGTGTGTTTATATTGTCACAACGATGAAGTCAGCAAATGATCAAAATTTGTTTTTTGATGTATGCTGGATGCCAAACAGTTATTTATATATTTATGTTGTTGTTACTATGAAATCTGCTGAAATCAAGGGGCATACAGCAAGTTCTAAAATGTTCTTTTGGACATGATCACCATGATCTATATGCGAATGTATTTGTACTCATCTCACCAGTTCTACAGATCACATCTATGGCGTCAGAGGCGTGCCACAACCCGTGCACGCGGATTGGGTCCACATCGCGCGTGTGAATGGGACTCGCGAGTGAAAATATACATGGCGAGAGGTCATTTGTGCATTGAGAGGGAGCAAACTGTGTCTGTGAGCACACAAGGACGTGCACAAGTGACAAACTCTCCCCCTGGAGGATCTAGGTTCGAGTCCGGGCAAGGAACATAGAGTAGATGTCATGTTATTTTTTCCTAATTCCTGTGATATTATTTTACAGTTGTGACCGTTCAACTGTCATTAAACGTCCGAATGTTTGCTGGGCAGTGTTTTAAAAAGTGCACATAAGCTAGATAGTTTTAACCATTTAAAATTATATTTTTTGTGATACTGGAAAAATACATACTGAAATAAAACTACTGATTGAAAACTTTATGACTGTGGTTGTACAATATATGACTCACTAATACACTGCAAACGCCCTTAGAGTGGGGCTTCCAGAGAGAGAGAGAGAGAGGGAGAATTTGTATTCTGTCAAAGTTATAATATTACTTCAGCCACTCTTGAGAGGAGACTCCTGGTAAAAATAGACTTGTGGGTGTAGGTATGTTCAAGTTTAAAAAGTTCTTGCCTCATTAATGTATTGTTTATTTTTTTCAGCATTTAATTGACAAATTATCCTTTCAAATAATTAATTGATGAGTTACATAATTGTCCAGTTAGAATTGTTGAATGGACTGAGTCAAGTTTGGTGCACTTTATATATTTCAAAACATGTTTTATTTTTTATTTTATTGATGCATATAAATAATTTAAATGTTAATTTAATGAAATATTTCTATTTTTTCATTACCTCACCCTTGTTTTGACAAAAACGGGACCTTGCTGGATAATATCATGGAGAAACTATTTGTTCACAGTATTTGGCTCAGTGAGGATCTGTATACCAAAGGAGGAGATACTCAGAAATCTGTCTGCAGATTGTTACAACCCAGACTGGAAGTGGTGGGCTGTAATAAGAAAGGAGACCAAACAGAGGAGTGGGGGGTTCAACAACTGATTTATTTAACCAAAGTAAGGATTTACTAAAGCAAGTTAGTGAACAGAAAATGGCCATCTCAAGGTTTGGCAGAGTGCCAAAACCCCTTCACAGCCGAGCGAGCAGAGTCAGAAACCGAGCGCGCAGAGAGGCTGCCGCAAGCGCACGTTTTCCTCTGCCGTGTGCTCGTTGGCAACGCGCGCACGCAGGTTTGTCACTTGTGCACGTCCTTGTGCGCTCACAGACACAGTTTGCTCCCTCTCAATGCACAAATGACCTCTCGCCATGTATATTTTCACTCGCGAGTCCCGTTCACACGCGCGATGTAGACCCAATCCGCGTGCGCGGGTTGTGGCACGCCTCTGACGCCATACACATCAACAGATCACATCTTCAGATATCATCAAATGCACAGCTGTGAGCACATATCCTGTTAGAACACGTTTTTGTTTTGACCTAATAAATCAAAACAATGAAACGGTTCCAAATAGCAAGAAGAAGGAGTGGTATGGGTCTTCAAGACCAAACTGGTTCTTATAAGTCTCTGAGCCAAGAGAATGCCTTTGACAAGACAATTAAGAGCGCTGTAAAATTGTGGAAGACCTTCGTAAAACTATAGAAAAGCTTGGAAATAGGAGGTCTAAACAGATTCAAATAGAAAAAGAGGAGATTTTAGGAGGAAATAACTTTCTACATCAAAAAGTCTACTCGCTGCAAGAGGGAAATCAGAAATTGAATCAACAGTTCTCAATTTTAATGAAAAATTCAACAACCAACTGGAACATCTGACAAGAAAAACAACACGAAGTCATGGAAGAACAAAGTCTGAAACTCCAGACCTTTAAGATGGACTTTGAGAAGGAGAGGGAAGAAAGTAAGATACTCCGTGACCAAGTTGGGGATCTGAAGAGAAAAAATTGACTTAGTAACAACAGGTTATCTCGGACAACCGAGAAAAAACTATATATATATATATATATATTCAAAGATGTATTTTGATGTGCATGACACTGGGTTAATATTTACATCTACCAGCCAATAGACGGCACTGTGGTAAAAAGTCCACTCAACAAAGTGAGGTTACCATTGTATAAAACAGCGAACTGACAAGTCAAGCAGCTGCTTCTGAACCCAGAAGATGTTCTAATGTTAAATACTGTAGTAAAATAAACTTATTAGTAGAATTTATCCTTTACTTGTAGCATTCGTCACATGGTGCTTGCTGAACACTTCACGTATTGGCTGTAAACTAACACCCCGACGGCTGGAAAATGTGTTCTGTTGTTGCAACTACAACCTCTATACACTAGATGTCACTATGGTGTCCATGTTCTATATTCAACCTTTAACCATAACTATATAAAAGTATTTTATTTTTTTTGCCAATTATAAACGATTTATTTCATAATGTGGATCTTGATTTTTTTTTGTCTTCGCAGATGATGAAGCCATGTGAAATAGGAAAAGAAATTAAAATAATTGATTTTAAGCCAAAGAATATTCAATTCAATTCAGTTCAATTCAATTCAACTTTATTATTCGACTCAATGTCCACATCAAAAAAGAGACATATAAAACGATACAAAAGATTATAAAAGACATGCATAGTGCCTCCATATGGATGACTGGAAACGCACTGCACTAAACTGGGGATCAAACAGCATCCGCACAAGTCTGTTCTTAGAGTTCTTCAACCACGAGATAAACCTGTACATCAAATTCCTCATTATGGCTTGGAAGGTCCTGACATGAGCATTACAAAATAAAAGACTTGCACTACAGGACCGAGGCTTCCCTGGCAGAGTCCTAAATGCATCGTTGTATGCTACATTAAGCTTTTGCAAGCTGGCTTTTCTATACTTACACCACAAAGGTGCAGTATACAATAGTGTGCAGTAGGTTCTAAAGAGGTGGATTTTTGTCTCATCAGAACACATGTGGAATTTCCTGACCAAAATATTGGCTTGGGCATACAAAACGCGACATAGCCAGTAAATGTCGTCATCATCACAGAGCTCATCTGTGATGATGTGACCCAAATATTTAGCTTTGTCACTGACACTTTTCTTCTTGTCGACCAAGTAGAAGTCCGGGAACCAAAGATCCTTATCGCCTTTGGTTCGACAAATCAGCACAACACTCTTTTTTTTGCACTAAACTGCACATTGTACTTCAGCCCATATTCAGAGCATGTGTTTAGCAGCTGCTGAAAACCAGCACTTACTGCTGGGCGAAATGATGGCCAAGTCATCAGCATACATGAGATGATTAATCAGATTGTTACCAATCATACATCCAGTTTTACATTTCTTGAGTTGATTTGACAAACCATCCATGTAGAGGTTGAACAGAGCAGGTGACAGTAGCCCTCCCTGACGCACCCTGTTGTTAACTCCAAAGGGGGCTGATGTGTTATTGTCCCATTTAACTTGCATTGTCTGACTAGAATACCAGTATGCCAAAATCCTCACAATGCTATGAGGGACACCTCTTTCACTTAATTTACAAAAAAAGCTTAGAGTGGCTGACCTGATTAAATGCCTTAGAAGCATCAATAAACCCCATCATCACTGAGGAGTTCTGTCTCAAATAAAGATGAGCTGCTTCCTTCAGGCCATAGATACACAGATCTGTTTCCAGCTTGAATGTGAAACCAAACTGGTGGTGTGTAGTTGTTATACAGTGAGAAAGTCAATAAAGCAATATCTTTTCCAGTACCTTAGAAATAACACTAGCTAAGGCTGTTGGCCTGTAGTTATCCAGGCTCCCAACTTTACCAGCTTTGTTTTTGATGACAGGCACTAAGGTAACAGACAGTAAAGAGTCAGGTAGCAGACCATGGGTCATGAACCTAGAGAAGCAAAGGGCCAGGAGTACAGCAATCCTGGAGCTTGCAAACTTCAGATGTTCTGCTGAGATGTTATCTGAGCCTGTTGCCTTGTTGTTAGACAAGTGTGCTATGGCTTGTCGCACCTCACAAGGAGTGATAATCACTGTTTCCCTGCTAGTAACATTTCCTACCTTGTATGGCTCA